AGCAATACGTCCAACTTATTAAACAAGTGACAACAGACTATAAAACACAAATTGACCACATATATACTAATATCCCTGAAAGAGTAAAATGCAGTGGAGTTTTAGAATCGTACTTCAGCGACCATAAGCCTATTTTCCTCTCACTAATTTGAATATTTAAGTTACTATAATAAATACGAATAGTTAATATATAAAAAACCCCGATAAAATTTCAGTTCACTATGGTAATATAGTCAAAATGTAAAAAGTTGTTCTTCACAACAAAGGTAGAATGTCCAGAATGAGTCAAAAACTAAAAAAGTTATTCTTCAAAGCAAAGATAAATGTCCAAAACACTGGATACAGGACTAGAAGATCCTTTCCCTCCTCTAAGAATTGGAGGGTCTATGTCCCTACTTCTTAGGGACTGAGGAAGATTTCCCTGAGATGACCTCAAGTCTTTGAGGAGGTAAGTTTTTTTTTAAATCTGATTTTGTGATTGTCATTTTGTATATTCTTATATATTTTTTTATTATTTCAGTGACATGGTCATCCATCGTACTTAGTAAAGATTAACATTTCATTCAACACTATAAGAGGAAGCTGCCTAAGAGAATGAAAGCAATAACTAAGGTACTGGAACATATTACTACGTTACGTTTGTGATCACATCTAACTATTTAAGAAAATTTTTCTTGCCGCTGTTCAAACTCCTGTATTGCGTTTATTTAAGGTAAACTATGTACTGAAGTGCTTATTTTTTATTGCAGACAAAATCACACAAATCCAAGAACAAAACTACAATATTGCATCCTCAGGTCTAAATGATAAAATTTGGATTTTGCCAACTATTAGCACTGAAGAACGAAGATCCACAACTTTAATAACTACACACTATATCTACTCCTGGAACACACCTATCAATTGTAAATTATCAGTTATCGTGATACAATGAAGTCACATGAAAACTACCGAACTACGATCAAGTTAAATCGTAAAGAGCGAATTCCAGGCCGAGTGAAAGATAACAAGAACGCACAGTTTCAACATAAAAGCCACAAGGAATTAATGCCAGTGACACGAAAAGAAATTTTACAACTATTATTAATTATCGGTGAACTGTCAACTTCTAGAAACGGGTGAACGGATTATTCAGTTGACAACTGACGTCATTGTTCTATCTCACACGAAGAAGAGTGGTGAATGCAAATAACTACGATTTATCTCCCAATGAATTTACAAACGCATGTCGAATACTAATGGTCCAACGTAATACCATCAAACGTATACAACCACGTCCTACATGCCATGCACATGAATGAATATATCGTACAAAGACTTTAAATATCTGAACATACAGTTAGATATGGTGTATCCTTTCAAGTGGATCATAAACAACGCCGACTGTAACACGTCCATCAATGTATCAGTAAAAGAAACAAGGTGATGGTAATGCGATCAATGTTACCACCCTGAATTTAACTATAAGTGTCGAACTCGACGAACAGTTAGTGTGATAAACAACTATTATATCAAAGCTTCCAAAGTACATGGAACATGCTTCTTTGTACCGTTAAAGACACCACCAAATCTCCTACTTCATTCGAGATCATGTTGCTAACTCTACAATAGCGCATGACTAATTTGCGGGGTATTTCGTTCGTTAACGTTTTTGTCCACTGTTATTCTTTGTCTGTTTTTTACTTGTTTGTTAACTCCCCGCTACTTCCATTGCTTGATTTGTCGTCTGTTTGTTTGTCATGTTTGTCGAAAAGTGTGTCCTCATGTTTGTCTTACTTCTCAATGTTTACTGAACAATTATTTCAACTGTTTTTGCAAACCTGTTATTGGAGAAAGTCCTCTCTATGTGTATAAATCCAGCTGCTCTGTGTAAATCTATATGTTTGTCAGCCACCTATCCTGTTTAAGTGTATCTGTTTTTAAGTTGTTTGACGAATAATTTTTCCTAATGTTAGTCTCACTCCTCAATATTTACTGAGCAATTATTTCAACTGTTTTTGAACTCCGTTATTGGAGAAACTCTTCTCTGTGTGTAATTCCATGCATGTATCTTTATCTCTTTATAGCAAAAGGTGTAAAATAAAATAAATAAATATTATGCCACAAATTAACTCTTGTCACAAACACTAAATAGGAAAATTTTATAGGAAATTTTTAATTTTGGCGACGTCGCCAAAACTAAAAGTTACACCCGTAAAAGTGTCACGTTTGACTTTTCAAACATGCTGATTATAACTTTTTAAAACCTTGTTTTGACGGCGCGCTTAACGGAAGCTTGCAAATGGTTGTATTGACAAAGAAATTACAATGCGACTTAACGTCACCGTGCAAGATTGACATGCAAAATTGTGCATGGTGGGCAGTGACATGCAAGATTGTACAATATCTGTCTGTTTATAATCAGATAAATCGGCCCATTTTAGCACCCATTTTGCAATATTGTTGATAATTCTCAAATTCCCACATTTGATTCGTTAACTTTCGCAGTAACCATAGTTAATACACCTTTTCTTTATACGGTGTCCAGAAAAAAGCAACCTCGGAATTTCCTAAGAAACCACTTTCTGCTTATAATTAATGCTTATAAGGCACAAACTTTGCACTATCCTTGGATCACTAGTTTATTTTCCTTTTCCCTCAAAAACAGTTAAAATAATTGCTCAGTAAACATTGAGGAGTGAGACTAACATTAAGGAAAATTAATCAACAAATAATGGTCCGGCCTTTGACACCAGCCTGATTTGTGCCCGCTAGCCTGACTAAATGGGTGGCCTGATAGAACAAAAAGCGTTGTTGGTCGAGGAATATGCATAATAAAACTACAAAAGGTTGCTGCATCGTTTACAATATTTCGGTCGTGTTTTATGAATAATTCATAGTTAGTGAGTACTGTGGAGGACAATAGCTTTCTATTGAAGACTTCAAACGGTAGGAGCTCAATTGTAACACACATATGTAATATATATATATATATATCTATATATATATATATATATATATATATATATATATGTTCTCGCAATCTACGGGCGAATTTGTAGTGTACCTTGTCGCCCTTTATAGTGAATCTCTAGTTCGATTCTTAATGTTGTTTGGCTAGATGTACTTTCTAACGGGACATCGAAAATCTGTGTATTGTGTTTGTAATGTAGAATTTGTGTATTTTTGTAGCGTAAAATAATAATAAACCGTTCCGATTAAGAGAATAGTAAAAGGAATATTTAATACAGTCCCCAGAAGGCGTGAGAGGTCGGTTGGCGAGAAAAACTCGGTACGAGACCTCTGCGCGTGAACATTATTGGTCCTTCGAGCCGGATATTATAACCAGTGAACAGCGACAATGTCAGTATCCCATTCTACGAGATCCCACAAAACCAGAGGAGTGGCGGACACTCAAAAGGGTCCTCAATTTGATGGGAATGCCCAACTGGAAGTAGATGCTGAAAATTCAAACCCTTCGTTAACAGAGGGTGGAGACCAAGTGGAACCAGCAACCAAATCAATTAAGAGATGTCAGTTTAGAAGAAGGGCTTTAAGGTCCACAATTGAAAAATGCACTCATGTCACTAAGCAAACAATGGTACAAAAGGCCAGTCGAGTAGCCATTGAGAAGAACTTGAGTGATATTTTGGAAATATTCAAAGAGATTGAAACCCTTCATGCCCAACTTGAGAAACTTGTCAAAGATGATGAGGAGCTGTTAGATGACATCATGATAATGGCTGATATAAAACTGGAAGTCAATGATATCAGTGGCATAGTACAAGAGCATCTCGAAGAGAGAGCATCAGACTCTTGTACTAAGTCGCAAATTAGTTCTCTGCGCAGCAGCCCCCCCCTGGAATACAACAGGAAGATGAGGACCACCAAGAGGATGCTGAGAACCAAGATGGAGAAGAGCGAGAATTGAGCCAAATGTCTTGACAGAAGACGCCTGAAGCAGCTCAACTTGAGGAACAAGCTAAGAATCAATCTCAAGCCGAGAATTGGTCTGCAATTGCAAGCAAGAAGGGAACAGCCCAAGGACATATGACACCTGTTCTCCCCAAAGAAAGAGAGATGCCTGGTACAGAGAAAGCAGCCCTATATGTGAAACATCTCGATCGAATTAGAGAACCGCAAAAGGTTGAAAGCTGCAATAATGACTCTCAGCTAGAGGATGATTGGATTGTCCAATTCCAGAAGAATCATGAAAACAAATCTAGAGCACTGGACCCTGGAAAGATCCCAGTTCGAGCAGACGTTCCAGTCTATAATGGCGACCCTTTGCAGTGGCTTTCATGGAGTGGCTTATTTAAAGCACTAGTCCATGACACAAAAATGACGTTGGAAGCAAAAATGGGGTTCCTACACACTAGATTGTCTAAAGACTGTGACCGAGTTATAGCCGGCCTATTCCCGGACGATGAGGGATATGCAGAAGCATTGATGTTGTTGCAAGATCGATATGGTCACCCTACTGTTCTGCAAGCTTCTCATCTCCAAGCATTAAAGTCATTAGCTCCAATAGATGTGGGGTCCCAGGAGAATCTTTCCCTGAAGTTCCAATCATTTGTTGATCGAGCAAGAAGCCACCTGGCAGTACTCCGCAGATACTGCAAGGGAGTGTCACCCTTCGTGTCTTCCCTCATCCATGAATTAACCGACAAGCTGCTGCGAGATGATGCAAAGGCCTGGCGTACCAAGGTCGGGGAGGAGCAAGTCGCAATGTCGTTAGAGGATTTCAGCACCTGGCTTGGAGCCAGAGGGAGAGCTTATTGGAGTGCACTACCGCCTGGCAACATCAATCGAGACAACCGGAGAAGAGACCGGAGATCTTTGCACAATCAAGGAAAAGTCTCCAAGTGTCCAAAATGCAGTGGTGATCACAAGGCAATGAACTGTGCTCAATTCAAGGAACTGTCAGTTGAAGATCGATTAAGCTTTGCAAAAGAAAAGCGGCTCTGTTTTAGTTGCTTGGAGGCATTTCATGTTTCCCGGAACTGCAGAAGTAAGAAAGAATGCGGGATATCTGGTTGCAAAGGAAAACACCATACCCTGTTGCAAAGAAAACAAGTTTTGGCTGGACGGCCGTTGGTCCAACAGGAGGATCCGAGACCCGACATTGCGTACATCACTTCTCCTGTACTGATACTGAACCTCTTGATGTGGCATTTAAACAATTTTGGGAAAACGAATCCTTTGGAACAAAGTCAACAAGTGAGCCACTCTATTCGAAGGATGAGAAACGGGCGATGGACTTGTTAGAACAGGGAACTGTCAAGTTGGAAACCGGTTACCAAGTCCCACTGCTGTGGAAAGAGAATGAACCACAATTACAAAATAACCGCCAGGTTGCCATGAAACGATTAGGAGGCTTGGATAGACGGTTCGAGCGAGATCCAGAATATGAAAATGACTACTGCAAAGCTATTGAAAAATTTGTGGACAATGGTTATGTTGCGAAGGTAGACGAAAACGACGATGTGAATGGGCCTGACCAATGGTATTTGCCACATCACGGTGTTTACAAGAAGTCTGCAACCGAGAAGAAGCTTCGAGTAGTGTTCGATGCTGCAGCAAAATATAATGGAAAATCTCTGAATGATGCACTGTTACCTGGTCCAACCCTGCAGAATGAACTACCTCACGTACTGACGAAATTCAGAGAAGGTGACATAGGGTTCGCAGCCGACATCGAAGCTATGTTTAGTCGAATACGGCTACGTGAAGAGGATGCAAGATACCATCGGTTTCTTTGGAGAGAGAAGGACAGTATCAAAGTTGACACCTACCAGATGAATCGTTTAGCCTTTGGCGACACATCCTCACCCTGTGAAGCGATCTATATTACGCGTCGTACAGCCGCCGATTATGGCATGGGAAAAGAAGAAGCTGTAAGGGCTATTGAGGAGAATCTATATGTCGATGACTATCTTGACTCGGCAGAATCAACAAGAGAAGCGATACGACGAGGGAACGAAGTGAAAAACATCCTAGCTGAAGGTGACCTCCATCTCAGAAAGTGGGTGTCGAACTCCCCGGAAGTGACTGCTGCACTCGGAAGTGATCTGGTAGATTTAGAAACGGGAGGAAAAGTAGCTTATCTTGCCAATAATGGGTCTGAAGCAAAAATGCTTGGAGTAAAATGGAACACACTCTCGGACGAACTGACCTTTAACGTGACCACCATCGAAGACGTAACCTACACCAGGAGAGGTTTACTGAGCAAACTAGCGGGAATATTCGATCCTCTCGGATTTTGCTCCCCCTATACGATAAAGGCGAAGATCCTCACCCGGCAGGTGTGCCTTCTAGGACTTGACTGGGACGATCCTATTCCACCCTCTCAGTTGAGCAAATGGAAAAAACTGGCTGTCAAAACTATCGGAGTTAGAGAAAATCAAAATAGCATGTTGTATACAACTACGAAAAGCAGAGGTGAGAAGCTCTGAACTTCATACGCTCTGTGACGCTTCGGAAGAAGCCTTTTCCGCTGTGGTGTACCTGTGAAGCCTGTATGCAGATGGGAGCATTGTGTGCTCCATAATTATGACAAAGACGAAGGTGGCCCCGAAGAAAGCACTGAGTGTTGCCCGACTCGAATTGCAAGCTGCGCTTCTCTGTGCGCGTTTGGCAACGTACGTTCGTAAAGCCTTGACACGACCTATACATCGGCTTGTATTCTGGACGGACAGCAAATGCGATCTTGGATGGGTGCGTTCCACTGCTGTATGGTATAAGCCCTTCGTGGCCCATCGCATAGGAGAGATTCAAACCTTGACAGATTCGAAATCGTGGCGTCATGTACCAGGTCAGTTGAATGTGAGTGACTACGCTACTCGGTCAAGATCCGATACCAAGGAAGAGATTATTCCCAGAAGGTGGTTCACCGGACCCGAGTTCCTCTCACAGAGTGAAGACCACTGGCCGAAAGAAACTCTAACTGAAGAAACACATGAGCCAACTGAGATGAAGCCAAGCAAAGTGTTCGTTGCAAACTCGAAGAAAGATCTTGCCAAACATCCAGTCAGCATAATCTTGACGCGGTGCTCATTCTTGGGAAAAGCTCAACACATAATGGCGCAAGTTCAGCGTTTCGTCGCTTTATGCAAAGGTGCCAAGCCCGTCGGTGTGCCCCTGGCGGTGGAAGAGTTCCGAGCTGCGATGGTTGTTCTGGTGCGCTATTGTCAACAGGAGGCATTTTCCGCCGAACGTGAATCACTGGAAAAGAACAAATGTGTGGATCGACGTTCAAAACTGCTCTCATTCACACCGTATTTGGATAAGGACAATGTAATCTGTGTCGGTGGACGACTGGACCGAGCAAAATTGGTCTACGAAGTACGTCATCCAATTATTCTACCACAGAAGCATCCTTTAACCGAGTTGGTTGTCGATTGTTATCATCGTCTCGAAAATCATGGAGGTGTTGATCATGTGCTTGCTGCCATCCATAATAAGTTCTGGATAATTCACGGTCGACAAGTGGTGAAACATTTCAAACAAAGATGTTAGACCTGCAAGCGAGAAGGAGCCAAGATGGGCCACCAGCTAATGAGTGAACTGCCGATCGAAAGAATAACGCCCATGCAACCGGCCTTCTATCACGCGTCTGTAGATTACTTTGGACCAATCACGGTTCGGCTAACCCGCAACACTACGGCTAAGAGGTACGGTGCTTTATTCACATGTATGACCACCCGATGCGTTCACCTTGAACTGGCGAGTCTTTATCAGCATCGAATTTCTTACAAGCCCTCCATAAAATGATGGCGAGACGCAGCCAGCCTCGTTCGATCTATAGTGACAATGGTACGAACTTTGTGGGTGCAGAATGCGTGTTAAAGTCCATGGTGAAGAAATTGAATGAAAGTAAAGACCTTCAGAATTGTCTTATGAGAATTGGAGAAGGAATTTCGTGGAAATTCCAGCCCCCGGCTAGCCCTCACTGGGGAGGAGTCCATGAAAGTTTGGTGAAATCTGTAAAAACAGCCTTGTATCGTACAATGAATTCGAGCGAGAAGACCAAGCAATCCAATCCGACGGATCTACAGTTATCCTCCCTGTACGCTGAAGTTGAAAGATTCGTTAACTCTAGACCGATAACGTATGTGAGTAGCGACCCGAAAGACATTGAAGCCTTGACCCCGTATCATTTCTGGCTGCATCGACGCTCACCGGTCATTCCTCTTGCAGATTACGACCGGCCGAATTTCCAAGATCGATTTAAACAAACACAACACCTCGCCAATCTCGTGTGGCAACAGTGGGTAAAACTATACCTACCAACCCTGCTGACTCGTAACAAGTGGAAGACGGAGGAACGAAACCTATCGATCAATGATGTGGTGATTGTCTTCGAACATAACCTCAAGCGCGGTGAATGGAAGTTAGGAAGAATTCTCGAAGTTTTCCCCGGACGGGATGGGCGTGTGAGAGCTGTGAAGATAAAAACAGGACAAGGTATTTGTACGTGACCAATTACAAAGCTCTGCATCCTCGAAGAAAACGTGAAAACAGATGATCGTCGCCCCAACCAGCCCGAGACGAACGATGGGGAGGAGTGATGGTCCGGCCTTTGACACCAGCCTGATTTGTGCCCGCTAGCCCAACTAAATGGGTGGCCTGATAGAACAAAAAGTGTTGTTGGTCGAGGAATTTGCATAATAAAACTACAAAAGGTTGCTGCATCGTTTACAATATTTCGGTCGTGTTTTATAATTCATAGTTAGTGAGTACTGTGGAGGACAATAGCTTCCTATTGAAGACTTCGAACAGTAGGAGCTCGATTGTAACACACATATGTAATATATATATATATATGTTCTCGCAATCTACGGGCGAATTTGTAGTGTACCTTGTCGCCCTTTATAGTGAATCTCTAGTTCGATTCTTAATGTTGTTTGGCTAGATGTACTTTCTAACGGGACATCGAAAATCTGTGTATTGTGTTTGTAATGTAGAATTTGTGTATTTTTGTAGCGTGAAATAATAATAAACCGTTCCGATTAAGAGAATAGTAAAAGGAGCATTTAATACAGTCCCCAGAAGGTGTGAGAGGTCGGTTGGTGAGAAAAACTCGGTACAAGACCTCTGCGCGTGAACAAACAACTTAAAAACATATACACTTAAACAGGATAGGTGGCTGACAAACAACCTTAAAACATATAGACTTACAGAGAGCAGCTGGATTAATACACATAGAGAAGACTTTCTCCAATAACAGGTTGGCAAAAACAGTTGAAATAATTGTTCCGTAAACATTGAGAAGTGAGACATACATTAGGACACACTTTTCGACAAACATGACAAACAAACAGATGACAAATCAAACAATGGAAGTAGCGGGGAGTTAACAAACAATTAAAAAACAGACAAAGAATAACTGTGGACAAAAACGTGAATGAATGGTTAAATTAAAATTCTTTCCTTCAAAACCTCAAGATCATTTGCAGTATGATTTCCTTCTCTGATATGATTTAAAATCTGAGCAAACTCTTTGTCTTCTTTTTGTCTCATAATTTCTGATAATTCAAACATTTGGAAATATTGTTGCCAGAGATAATGTTGCTAATGCAGCATAACCCTACTTTGAATTGTTAAATATCCAATTAGCAAATACAGGTTTCAGTTGAAACAAGTCGCCAACAGTTATTATACTAAGACCACCAAATGGTTCTTTTGTGCCCATGATTTGTTGTAATCTTTGGTCAAGAAAATTAAACATACCACTGCGCACCATAGATATCTCATTAATAAAGATAACTTGCATTCTGTATAACTGAGATTATATTGTATTTAACTGGTCTCTATCTAGAGTACAATAATTAAATCCTCTATCGTAGCTAGAGATTTGCCAGGCGGAAAACGGATTCTTATTATAAATATGAGAACACAACATATAACATTTAAGAAAGCCATGAAAACAATTTAAAGTTTAATAGTAAATATATTTGTAACGTTTCCTCTTTAACCTAAGACATCTTCAGACAAGTGATATAAAATTACATGAGATTTGAGTATATATAATCTATTTACATATGTAAATTAATGACGGATAGGAAGGTATAAGATAGTACATGACAAAACCGCACAGACGAAGGGACATAAACACAATACAAAAACTATGAAAACACGTTACAGAAGATTAAGTGGGATTGAACTGCCCTGGATGTTAAGTGAGGGTTTCAGTTTGGAGATGAGGAGGCTTTCGTGAATCATGAGTTCATGTTTGTCAGAACATGAAGAAAGAATTTTAAAATCATCAAAGTCGGCACAGTGCCCTGCAGTGGTTATGTGGGAGAAGATGCTGGACAAAACTGGACTAGATGACGGTTTTCCAGTTATAGGGGAAATTCCCAAGTGTTCCGATACTCTGGTGTGTAGATGGCATGTGGTTTGACCCGTTACTTTTAAACTTTAAATTGTTTTAAACTTTAAATCACAGGAAATTTAAATACGGCATGAAGTGTATTTCCTCTTATGTTTTGTCTGTTGGGGCAACTTTTACAACACTGACATCATCAACAAAGGTGAAAAACGTCTTTGGCCAATCAGCGCTTTTGTTGACATTTTTATTATTAACCAATCAGAGTCTTCGATTTTACGCTACCTCCGCTAACACACAAGAAATTTACTAGGGGTATAGTATGTTGAATTATGCCTTTGGGGGGACAGGATTTTGAACTTTTTTGATTAAATACAACGGAATATGAAAAAATATTCATTTATCTAAAAATCTGTCGGCCAGATTTTCGCTTTAAGGTCTAGTGGTAATACTATCGACATTTGAACAACGACGTACGCACGCCGCGAGTAAGGGTTTATTATATAATTGCTGGTCTTGGTTTTTGGGCCTCTAAAAAACAACAATTATATCTACAATAATATAAGATACCCCTTGATTTAAGGCCAAGTTAAACGGGAAAAAGTTTTATAGACGTTCTTTGCAATAATATTAAACATTCGATCGGCTTGTGACTGACCAGACAGTGAGACCATGCACTGTAACACTGTAAGATCTTTAAAATATTCCATATTTAGCTAAAGTAAAGAGCGCGAAAACACAAACCTTTTTTTAAAATCATGCAACTTCACTGAAAATGCCTAAGTTTTCGAAAGTCTGCAGCAATCGTTTCCTTCACGAAAAGTGGAAAACTGAAAAGGACGTTCAATTTATTAACCTTCGCAGGAATGGCTTGTCAGATCTAGCCAATATTTTTGAGCATTTTTTAAAAAAAGAACATGTTTTAAAAACACCATCTGTAACAAACGTCTGCACTGCCTGCCTAAAACAATGTCTTAAAAGGCGTTGCTTTACGAAATACCTAGAAGAAAATGATCACACAACAATAGAAAACAAGGTAGGTTTACTGTAATTTATTGCCATTTATCTTAATTCTCAAATTTCAATTTTACTCTTTTCATCCATAATGATTTGAAAATACTTTTAGCTTGCAGCATTGTTCAAAAATCCTGGAGCAGTAGACAAGATTGTGGATAATGAGATGGAGCCCAGCATATCAAGTATAACTACAGTTAACACACGCATATCAAGTATAACAGAAACAAATGCTCATACTGCTTCTTACTCACCATCTATGACAGCTGATGTAGAAGTAAACACAACATGTACACAGATATGTAGTCAGGACACAGAATCAACCATCAGTCTGAGCAGCCCTAGTTTATATTCTTTTAGTGACTGTGAACAGACTGTGCCTGCAACAACATGTCTAGAGAAAGAAATTCAAACTGATCAATGCATTTGCATTTCTCCCAGTGAGTATGAAGAATTAATTGAACAGGCTTCAAAATATGTTGACATGAAACAAGAGCTTGAAAAAATAAGTTCACATTTTTTTAAGAGTTCAAATCCTTATCCAGAGATGGATCCAGATAAATTTGAGCAGGTCTGTCTTCAAATTGGAGCTGAAAAGCTTTTTAACAAATTGTGCAATGCAATGAGTCTTTCAAGAATGTCTGCTGAAAGAAAGCATCTGACAAAACTGAGAACAATGGTGGTGATTTACATCATGATGTTTTCACAATCCCAAAAGGCTAATTGGTTTCAAGTCACTCTTGCCAGAACACTCCAACAATTTGGGATAAGTGACCAAGGCTTAGCATCACTACGGAATCTAGGAGTGGCAACACACCCCCGGACTGTTAAGATGGCATCAGAATTATCTGCTGCTTCTCACCTTGGCAATGTGGAAACTTTCTTTCAAGAAGTTGTGGACAATGAGCAGTTTCTGGTTATTTGCATTGATGACTTTCATAATATACATACGCAGCATCGCCCTGAAACAAAATCACAGACCGAAGCAGTCCACATGAGCACACTTTTGGTAAAAGTATTCTCGAATGTTAAGGCAATTTCAAAAGAACATCACAAATCACCTCTGCTGCCTCCTTCTCCAGTTCAGTGTGATACCTTGTTTAAACTTTTAAACAAGGAAATGGCAAGCTTATCCCAAAGCTACTCAACAACAAACCCAGATTGGGTAGTAGCCAAATATTTTGACCCGGAGGAAGAAAGACGCAGACTTTTGCTGCATGATTATCAACAAACTGAAATACAGGAGATGAGGTGTATGGACAACACTAAACTTGTGGACAGCCTTCATTTGCCTCTCAAATCACTTAATGATTTACTCACAGCTTTTAAGCACATGCTCGATAATGGTTTGAAAATCTATCTTGACAGTTTCTTAGCACCATTCATGGGTGACTGGCCAACCCAATTTTTCATGCGTCAACTTGTATACAACTCAGCCAAAGTTTCTTTACCACCTATTGTCCAAAACGTTGTTCCATTAATAGGTCCCTTTCTTTGAATACCAGAGAATGTGTTGTGAAGTACTTCCATCCAATATTTGCTGAACTTTACTCCTTCCTGTTTGGAAAGAAAGCTAAATTAGCTAAAAAGCCAAAGCCCTGGAGAGTCTCCCTGCTACTGGAAGTGCTATATGGTGGATGGACTCTAATTCGGGAAAACATCATTTCAATTTTTTATCATTGTAAAGAAGTCGAATTCCTTACTCTTATCAACCTGGTCGACAATTATGTGCCCTTGGTTTTAAGTATTTATTCTGTGATATTTAAATGTAATGATTACCAATTGTATTGCAAATCATTGTTACGCTGCTGGATTATGTGTATGGTGTTCCGTCGTCGACATTATGACAAAGCATTGCTGGTTAAACTCTTAGCATTTATGTACTGGAAAGAGAACAATCACCCTATGTTTGATACGTTAAACAATGCCTTGGCAGCCTTTGACGAATATCCCATTGAAAATTTTCATTCTGTCCTTCGTGCTAGAACTAATTCCACTGACAATGCTGATCAAATTAGTCGAAAGGCTAAAGAGATTGATGTGTGTAAACATGAGATGCATATGTTTAAGTCTAATTTTGTGCCTCCAAGAAAGCTAGATTTCAGCAGGAAAAGCATCAGTAAACTGAAAGTCAAAGCAGCAGAATTCCTAACAAAGAAGTTTGAATTGCTACATAACAATCCCAGCCAAGCTGTGTTGATCCCAAGAGCTCGAGGTGAAAGAAAGGATATAACAAAATGGAAATTACCAAATCTGTTTGGCAACAAGATTGTTACCAGTAAAATTTTGCCACTAGGATTCACTTCAGTTGAAAGACCTCCTAACCCTCAAATGTAAGTAATGAAATAATAAGTTCATTCCTTTGATTGAGGGCATTTTTATAGTGTAAAATGGTTGATTGCACAGTAAGCTTAGGAAAGACTGTATTAATATAGTCTTACCTTATGGCAATTGATATTTTTATTTATTTGATATGTTAACAAGCAAATGCAAAACATCTAAGTCAGGGTTAGGTTCCTTGTAAGATAGAATTAATTAATGATTTACATTACCATAAATCTCATTCAAACAGCAAATGTGACAAGATCAACTGCGACCGTGACAGTCATTTGTGGCGTATTTTTCGTGGCTGTGGGCATTCTTTTCACGTAGAGTGTAATCTTCCTAAGATCAGTGTTTGCTCCGTTTGCATGAGTCTCCTTCAGTTGAAGATCGCCAAACTTGGTAACACAGCAAATAAGACAGTCACAGAGTGTACAATGCAGAGTGTAGACGACAATGAACATAGCGATGATGAAGATGATGATACCACAAGTGACAACGATGAGGACGATGACGACGGCGATATTCACACAGAGCAGTCTTGCAACGAAGGAGACATTCAAGATATGATTTTTCAAATATCCTCTTGGTCTGTCGCTCACCCGCCCCAGAATTAAAGCAACAAAATCGTAAGTTTAAATTTAGATAATTCCTGTGAAGCTGCTTCATAAATTTTGTGTTAAATTTCACATCTCTTCTGGCACATCAAATATCAAAACATTGCATAGTTATTTAACTTATTTTTAATATATTTAATATTATGCAAACACAATTTTGATTGGAAGCACATGCATACTTTTCGTAGGGCGTACGTCGTTGTTCAAATGTCGATAGTATTAACACTAGACCTTAAAGCGAAAATCTGGCCGACAGATTTTTAGATAAATGAATATTTTTTCATATTCCGTTGTATTTAATCAAAAAAGTTCAAAATCCTGTCCCCCCAAAGGCATAATTCAACATACTATACCCCTAGTAAATTTCTTGTGTGTTAGCGGAGGTAGCGTAAAATCGAAGACTCTGATTGGTTAATAATAAAAATGTCAAAAAAAGCGCTGATTGGCCAAAGACGTTTTTCACCTTTGTTGACATCATCAGGATCATTCTAAGGTTGAGAATTTAAGTATCATATAAGAGCTTCATACAAAGCATTAGTTACAGTACTTTTACCCACATCAGCACCTCCACTTAAAAATAGTCTCATTGGCAGCTTATCAGTCCTTGATAGAGTTCAGTACATGGTAAAAAAACTCTTTTTGTTCAACATTAAGTGATTGGACAAGTTTTCTAAAATCAACATCATTCAGCCTTTTTACAACAAGTTCTTCATTATCGTTCTTTCGGAGATAAATGCCAATATCATTTATCAAGTTGTACTGGGCATGTTGTTTATCTTTTCCAGGATCAAAACATCAGAATAATTCACTTGTTTTCGGGCTAATTTCTCTGTCTTGTTCATCTCTACACTGCATATTGGGACCGACTAAATTCTCTTCACTTTCAATATCTTGTACAGCCTGATCAAGAACTTCGGTGCAATTCTCATATTGTTTTCCGTTTTGTTCTATCACATCTTTGACAATTTCATTTTGGTCTTCATAATTTTTCAAGTCCTTTAAAAGATCTGTATTTTCATTCCTCCAAGCAGTGTAAAGCATTATCTGTTCTCTACAATAATTTTCTGCATCTTTGTTTTTATTAAATACAACAGACCGTATTATTCTTAGCTTTTGCCTTTTCACCAGCGATATTCCACCTTTCATTTCATATTGGTCATTTTCATTTTTTTCCTCTTCTTTATCAGAAAGATCATCATCTACATTATCATCAAAATTACTCTCTGAAAGATAGTCATCTATTAATCTTGAATTTGATTTGTGTTTGCTTTGTTGATTACTGTTACTTTTACAATTGAACCAAGTGACAAAATCCGCCAGACATAAATTATGCAATTTCTTTGGTCTTCTCTGGTATCTTTTAATAATGTTTTCTTATTCAATATCAGCAGAATTATTAGGAAGTTCTTTTTAATAAGAATGTTCTTTCATCTGGGTCAGATGTATTGATAAATTGGAAGTCTCGAGATGATCGTCCCAAAAGTATTTGCATTACTAAGTAGACAGCTGCTTGTGCACTTATCTCAACAGCATTGAGAAATTTGTTACCAATATGTCTCACTTTGTTAACAATGCTCTTATTGCCTTCTTTTGCTTTTTCGCATGCTTTACGAAGTAACTTGCTCATTCCTCTTTGACCTATAGTAATATATGAAAGGATATAAACCGCGCAAGCGTAAGGATCTAACACATACTGAATAACTATATTTGCTTTCCATGCTCTGAGTAAGTTTGGATTGTAACAGTTAATTCGTATCTCAGCAGGTGATTGTTTCAATAATAAAGTGCTATGTTTTAGAGAAAGTCTTATAGCTTTCAAGTATTGCTGTTGTTTGAGAAACTTTGTCAAAGGTCATGGTTTCATCAGCTTTAATAGAGTTTAATAAAGACCATGTTCCTTCTAAAGCTTTCTTTAGTATATCGAAGATATTTTCCTCTAGATCAGTTTCAGATAAAGGCTCTAAAATCATAGTTCTTGGCATTGGTGGTAATGGAAAATTAAATCTGCAAACAGCATTTCCTCTTTTCTTGCACGTTTTGGAGTGCTTATGTCTAATAACTTAATTGGAATCTTCACTTAAATGCCACAACAGCCTACATGCCAAAGCATATAATTTCACAGTTTCCTTGCTTTTCTCACATTTTTTGTATAGTACTCTCTCCACCAAAAGCACTTTCGACCACCATTTGTTGTGCCCTGCTAAGCCTATAATTGAAATATTTTTCCATTTCGTTTCGCACGTCATGTGCAAAAGGCTTCATTAAGAAAACACTAAATGGAAATGCAAAATCGCCAATAATCAGTGGCAGCACTTCTGATTCCCCTATTTTCTTGGTCATTTGAGGAATAGCTCATTCAGATGTGATATTTTGCCAAATTTGAGTTGATTGAAAGATGAGAGAGTCATGGATGGGAATTCCTGGTCAACCCACACTTCCACATGAAAAACAGTATTTAGCATCAAAAAATGGCCATGAGCACAATCGAATAAAAGTTTTTAAGGTTATGGTACTCTTTTTGTGACTGTTGACCATCATGGGGGCAGCATAATGATAAATGACACCCATCAACAGCTTCCCAACAACAAGGAAATTGCCAAAGTTGTTCGGTGTCAAGTATCTTCTCTTCAAATTGTTCCTTTGTTTTCAGTAAGAATTGCAACACCGACTCAGCCCACAACCTTTTAATTAATGATTTGCAAACCTCTGGAGTCACAACCCTAACAGTGCTTTCTCCAAATCCAGTTGTTTCGGATACAGTGTGAGGATAATCTCCCCTTGCCAACAGATAAAGGCAAATTGTCAAACAGCATATTGGTGATATAGGGTCTTCAGTAACAGTCTTTCTTTCAAGATTGCAATTCTAAATTCTCAATCTTGCAACCTCTTGCCTCAACTGTACTGTGTCGATTGTGACGTCAAAGAGAAAGACATTTACTTTTTTTGGATTGAAGCTTGATTAAAAAAATTCAATACCCTTACTGTGACTTTAGAAGTGATAATAAACTGAGATTTATAGAAATATTGAGATTTTTGCATTAAAGAGTTGCACGGTACAATTTTCTCTGCAACTTGCAATGCAATTCTTCTTTTCAAAGGTGTAAATTTGGTAACTACCAAACTTTTGTCTTAATTGTTCTCCGTGGCATTTTTCTGACTTACATTTTGAAGACTCTTTACTAATTTACATCTCTTAAAAGTAGAATTGCATTGCAAGTTGCAAGAAAAATTGCATTATGTAACATGGTCTTAGGAAACAGCGGCCAAGCAGTTACAAGTCTGTGAATTTCACAACAGGGATAATCATGAACAAGGTGGAGTGAATGGGCCTTGTTTCATTAACTGAATGTTTATCATATAAAGATCCTTGAGCTGTTCTATCTGCTTAACAAGATCTCAACATGTAGTAGAACTTATAACCAGAATCATTGATGTTGTTACATTAAAGTGATGAGATTGCGCTTAGTGAATTATCGAAATATTTTTTATCCTGAATGACAAGTTGCAGTATATAGATCAATGCTGCTTGAAAGCCATGTTTATCCTATATTGGCCCTGGTTGCAGCATGGAATAAAAAAAGTAAAAGACTGAACATATACAAAAAATAGGTACGCAATGCGTACATGTGGGTAGCCATAAACATTAACTGCGATAAACCTATTTTGTATTCAAACAACAGGCTGCTATAGTAAATATCAACGAGTAAATAGCGAGTAAATATCAACTGATGCTTAAGGCCCTGTTACACGGTGCAATTTTTCTTGCAACTTGCAATACAATTCTTCTTTTGAGAGATGTAAATTTGGCAACTACCAAACTTTTGTCTTTATTACACTCCATGGCGTTTCTTACACTTACATGTTGAAGCCTCTTCACTAATTTACATCTCTTTAAAAGTAGAATTGAATTGCAAGTTGCAAGAAAAATTGCACCATGTAACATGCCCTTTACTCTTACATTCTAATGCCAAACAAAACGGCAAAAATGCCCTATAGTTAGCTAGTTGAATACAGTTACACAATCTATATATTATAATATTTTATTGTATTAAATGCATTTTACTACAGATCAAAACATTTATAAAAGCATATTTACCTTGAAAGTTTCTTAGAATGTGGGTTTATTTCCACTCTTGCTTGTATATCAAAGCGAATATCGAATGTCTGGCTGTAGCATTACAGTA